TGATGTCTGAGGGCGGGAGAATATGGACATCCCAGCTCAAGAAAAGAGATCAAACTCACACTTTCTCTGGCTTTTTTGTTCTATTGGGGCCCTCAGCGGATTGGATGATCCCACCCACACTGGGAAGGGGTCTGCACTGGGGGGGGTCTGCTTTACTCAGTCACTGATTCAAGTGTAAACTCTTCCAGAGATGCCCTCACAGACACACCCAAAGACAACGTGTGTCAGTCATCTGGGCATCCCTTACCCATCAAGCTGATGCATAAAATTCACCACCACAATGACCCGTTTTCCCCATAAACCCATGAACAGTCCATGAAACCGTGTTCCCTGGAACCGTGTTCCCCGGAATCAGTGCAGACAGTGCTTGGCTAGGAGGAACTGAGGCTGCAGTCCTCTAAGGACTTAGGTCACCTGACCAGTGCTGTTCTTTGTAACTCTAGAAAACGTCTTGGGATGGTTCCAGTGAAGAGCCTCACTGAGAGTCCAGCCTCCAGCCTCCTTTGTCATCACCTGCTATGACCAGAAACTGGGCTCAGTGTCCCAAGAGGGATGGAAGGGACAAGGGCGAGATCAGAGGGCTCCCTGCAGCATCGCGGTCACAGAGAGGAGGGATCAGGCACGTTTGCTCCTCCGCATATACGCACAAACACGAGTGTGCTTACACTTCTCTTCCCTCCCAGGCTCTGACGTCCTAGGGAGCAGAGCCTTGTTCCTCCTGTTAGGGGTTGCTAGGAAACTGCTTCTGTGGGAAGGAAGGAGTCGGCGCGTGATTTGGATCTGCGCATCATCTGCGAGAGATGAGTCTACTGTAAGTGAGGTGGAGGTTTGGGGCACAGGGCTGACACCAGTGACACTAAATACAGAGGACTTTATTTTAATTGCTCCCACAGCTCAGCCCCCCCAAATGCTGGAGATGTTGATCTTTGTCGCCACCTGCAGACCAAAAGCTGAGCTGCAGGTTCCTGGCCTCAGAATGGGCTCCAGGGATGGGCCCGCCTTGCTTGGAGTTAACATCTTTAAGGGGCAGAGATTGGAATTTGCTTGCGGGTAGATAGATTCTGTTTTGGTAAAACACTAGCGAATCCATTTAGTTACACAAATGTAAAATCCAACTGGAAATGCAGTCAAATAACTCAAATACAAGACATAAGTTTCTCTGTTTATGTTTATTTTGGTCCTTTCTGTCATGTTCGTTTCTGAAATGGTTGTATTTCAGAAGCTGGGTCCCATTAGGCTTTTCTTTCTCACTTTCACTTTTCCTCCCTACATCTGAGTTAGACCTGCCTAGAACTGCCCTGCGTTGTGCAGGCAGTGGGCTTCAGTGGCCGACGTTTGGAGCAGTTGTTTGGGGGCCCGCAGTAATGTGTGGTAGGATCCCAAGATAAAAATGTGCTCAAAAGGGAATGTGACTACATTTTAATCCTGGTTGGAGTGACACACGGGTTACAGGAGACGCTGAACACACAACCCTCTTGTATGATGTTGCTCCAGAGCTTCCTGGAATAAAGACGTGGTCTTTTATGCATGAACCACTGCCCACATGTAGAGCCTCTTGTGGACATCCACAGTATACACCCATACCCAGACACTCAGGCACACACACAACACACACACACACTCAGACACCATGCATACACACAGCACACACCCACGCCCAGACACCCATGCACTCACACAACAGGCACATACAGCCAGACATGCACACAGCACTCACCCATGCCCAGACACTCATGCACACACACAGCACACGAGCACATAGGTGGACACAAGTTCATGAATACACACACCCACACCCAGATACCCATGCTCACACACAGAGCATATATGCACACACCCCGACACATGCATGCCTACATGCACACCATATACACATGTGCACATACATGTGTGCAGTAACACATACAGCCACATACAGTACTTCCTTCAGGCCTATTTGGGGCTGTCTCCTCTGCCTGGACCATCCTGACCTGCCACCTGGCTGGCCCCCTACATGCCTCATGGGAGGTTATCACAGTGCATTCCAATCACCAGTTTACTGTCTCTGCCTCTGACCTTCTGGTTCATTCTGAGATGGAAATAGTGGGTAAGACCAACAGGGAGCCTCTCCCAGGAATTTACGTGATAATAGTTCTGATGAGCTGGTTGTGGAATGAAGCCTCTGGTGTGGTCACCAGACAGGAGAAGGTATGTAAGGGACAGCCTCAGGAGGTGGCATCTCTGAAGTGTACCTGTCAGAAGCTACTTCCATTTCTTACTCCGAAATTCCCAGGACCAGAACGCCCATCATTTTTTCTACCAGAGCCTGGCAGGCTCCCCGTCTTCTAAATCTCATGTATCGTCTTCCTCTCCCAATGACTAATACAGAACTGGCATATATTAGATGTTCAAAATGTTTTTGTAATGTAAGTATAGAACTTGATCCAATTCACCTTGGGTGGCCCTTCTCTTGTGAGCTGTGCCCACAGCCACCCAGGCATCCCCACATCTCCTGCCACTCATGGGCTCTGCTCAAGTTGGGTCACGCTGAGTTACCGAGAGTAAAAGAGATGAGTGACTGTGTTGAGAGATGGGGCAGGCCAACCTTGAAACAAGAGTGCCAGCATTGGCCTCAGGGCAGTGCCAAGCAGAAGGCATGTGAGTGAGGAGGAGAGAAGAGGAAACTGAGCTGAGCTGAAGCCCTAGTAGCAGCTGGTGGGTTTAGCTCCAGGGCCCAGGCTTAAAATTTAGGCCCGACTTGAAATACTGGGATGATTCCTCCAGGTCTGGATAAGGTCTACCCTCCTTCTCAGGTGTTCACAGCCATGCCCCACCCATCTTCTCATCTGAGTTTTCAGCAGCTCCTCAGCCACAAGCCTGAGTCCCAGCCTCATGGATGACTCGCAGTGCACCAAGTGAGCACTCAGTCATCACACCTCCGAAAGTCGTCCTCTCTGCCTACAGTGCCCCTCCCCACACTCTGTCTGGAAAAGCACTTTTCCTTTGAGGCCCAGGTTAAAAGCCCTGTCCTCTGTGAAGCCCTGTCTGGCCCCCGCTGCCAGCTCCATCTGTGCTGCAGAGCCACCGGTCAGTCCCCTTACTGACATAGCTCTCCTCAGGCTTCATCCCGCAAGAACCAAGTGATTGTCCACTAACGTGTTTGAGATTTTATATTTGCTCAGCCCCTCCTGGTGCACCAGCAGCTGCTCCGGACACTGGTGAGACAAAATTAAACAGAACATGCCCTTAAAAGGCACAGGGTAGTCCCAACACACAAACACCAGGCCATGGAGAGGCAAGGAAAGGATCTAGACTCATTAGAGCCCTGAAACCCAGAGTGACTATCCTCTGGCTTCCCTTTGCATCTAAAAATAAACTAAAGCTCTTACTCTGCCTTCGAGGCCCTTTGACCCAGCCCTGTGCTCTCGCTCACCTCCTAACCGTCTCCCTCGCTCCATGCTTCAGCCCCCCGGCCTTCTGCGGCCATCTGAACACCAAGCCCCTTCTGTCTCTGAGCCTCTGAGTTTGCTACTCTCCCCTGGATCGCTCCTCACCCCACCCCTTCCTGTCCTTCAGTCTCAGCTCACATGTCACCTCCTCAAAAAAGTCAGAGTCACCTCCCTGCTCACCCTCTCTGTTACCATGAATACCTACTGCCCTCACCCTCTACCTGCTAAATTGCCCTTGTTTGTTTCCTTGTGTTTATTTGCTTATCTAGTGTTTCTCACACAATTAGCAGCTCCAAGGGAGCTTGGTTTTGTCCACCATTCTGTCCCCAGCTCTTGATACAAGAAGGGAATAAATTATGGAATGCCACTGGGGTCAGAAGGGCCAGTTTCTGTCCTGAGCTCCAACACGTACAGCAAGCCAATGCACTTCTCTTAGCACAGGTTCCTCGCTTGTCAAGGGGGTTAAGGAGCTTCCCCAACAGGGTCGTTCTGGGCGAAGACAGTGCTCTGAAGCACCTTGGCTCATGGCACCTGTCGCATGGATGTGGAGCAGTTTTACGAGACGAAGAGGGCCAGCCAGCCGCCTACCCTCTCTGAGCCCGACACCAGATCCTCCATGAAATGGAGGGGGACCCGGGCTCTGAGGACAAGCGTCAGTTCTGACTGCAAACTCTCCAGCCCCATGTTCCCAGCTGTAACAAGTGACCTTAAGATATCGCTTCCACTGGAATCTTAAAGTCATCCTGTCCTGTAGAAACCCACTGCCTCTCCCTCCAGGCTCCTCCTTGCTCCTCACACATCAGAACCAGCTGATGAATGAAGGCACGGATCATTAGACCGAATGACTGAAGCGTTGTGAAGTGTCCAATAGATAAATTGTAAGGCTTGAACTGGAACTGAAACCTTAAGCTGCCCAAAGGCCTTGTTCCATGGACAGAGGAGGAGACCTGGCTGCTGCCTGGAGCTTCGTGGCTGTTTCTAGAAGCTCTGGAGCAGATGGACTGGAGGGGAAGCTGTGGCCGCCTTCTGGGGACTCACCAAGGTTCCCCTGCCTCTGCATTAGACACAGCATGCAGGGGCCTGAGGCCCTGTATCGGTTTCCTGCAGCTGCTGTAACAAACTACTATAGGCGTGGTGCTTAAAACAACACAGATTTAATAATTTACAGCCCTGGCCTGAAATGGGCTTCATGGGATGAAAACCAAGTTGTCTGCGGGGCTAGTTCCTTCTAGAGGCTCTAGGGGAGAACCCATTCCCTTGCCTTTTCCAGCTTCCAGAAACCCCCTACACTCATTGGCCCACAGCCCCTTTCTCGATCTTTAAAATTAGTAGCACAGCACCTTCCAATCTCCTCCCCCGTCTCTCTTATGAGGATCTCCTTGAGACATTGCCCACCCCCCCAAAATCCAGGATGGTCTCCCCATCCCAAAACCCTTAACTTAATCTCACCTGCAACATCCCCTTTGCCCTGTAAAGTAACATATTCCCAGGTTCTGGGGGTTAGGATGTGGGCATCTTTGAAGGGCATAGCTCTGCCTACCACAGGCCCCTAGCGGGATGAGTTTGGTTTGGGGGCACCAGGGGAACGCTGCCTCCTGCCTCCCTACCGACTCTGTTCGAAGTAGAACTCGGTGCGGGCAGAGGGTTCAGTCTCTTCGGCGAGTCGTACCGGCTGCTGGGGCTCAGCTGGGCCACAGAGAAACCAGCCAGGCCAGGCAGCAGCCTCGAGCCTGAAGGCGGAGCCCAGGCTTCTCTGGAAGAAGGTGAAGCGTGTGGCCCGCTCACCTCCCTTGTACAGGTCCTCGATGCTCACATCCTGTGGGGGCAAGCGGCCGGCTGCAGGCTGAGGCTGCCGAGGAAGTTGTCAGCCCTGGAGGCCTCAGGCTTAGCCAGTGAGGGACTGGACAGGGAGGGTCTTTACCCGGGAACTCCCTCCTGAGGGCTCTGGAGGGCAAGGGTCTTGGCATTGGGTGCAGAGGGAGATGGTGGGACCTGCAGAAGAGGGATGTGTGGACCTGGCAGGGCACCCACAGGTGGGAGCAGAGATGCCAGAGTGTCCTGGAAGACAGGCGGGTCTGCAGGGTCCCCAGAACAGGACACTTCTCACCTCCAGCTTCAGGGAAGGCCCCTCCCTTGTCTCCACACAGGCCAGGCAGCGCCTGCCCCCCTGGATCCCCAGGAAGATGGGGACTTTGGTCCGGTCCAGGCCTCTGTTGGGAAGTACGCAGATCTTCTCTGGGAAGGAAGAGAGGAGAGAACCAGGACCTGAGGGGCCCACTGCAAGCTCTAGACAAGCTAAGTTCAGGCAGGACCCGGGCCAGGGCATGGCTGGCCTGGGCCCTTCATGCAAGCTGCAGGATGAACTGGGACACCTACAAGGTCATGACCCTCTCACTAGACGAGGTCTTCAGCTGTTCCCTGTCTCTTCTCACTGTCACCAGAGACAGGAGGGAAGGGGGAGCCTGTGGCAGATGGAGCCTGGGCAAGTCCCAGCAGGTGGAGGCTCCGGGGCTCACCTGCACAGCAGTTGTCTGCATCAGGGTCTCCCACCAGCAGCTGGTCATCTCTTATGTACAGAGCCTTCTGATCTGCATCTTTAATTCTGGAACGGGATGGCAATGTTGATGGCCTATGCCTTTAGGCACCATGGAGTCCCACCTCCACTATCTGATTACCATACTAAGTATCCAGGGCTGCTTCTCCTACAGGTGAGAAGGGGCAGGTAAAGACCAGGCCATCTTAAGGCAGGAAGGGCCCCCTGGAACCTATCAAAGGCTGCACCTCCTTTACAAGGTTTGAGCTGTGTCAGGGTCTTTGGGGCATTAAGGGGAGCTGATGCCAGCTCACTGAGGGGCAGAGAATTTTCCTGACTCTGTAGCCCTTTTCCGCCACCTTCCCGGAGAAATTTCCTCATGAGGCTGAGATGCCTCTGGGACACAGTGAGCCCTATCCTGGGTTTTCTGGGCCTTCCCCAATTTTTCATAGATGTTTATTCTCTTATTAAAGGATTGAGTGTATACTGAAGTGTGATTTGCTTTTCAGATGTTTAAAGATTTTTTAGTAGAAGAAAATCCACAAATTGGAAAAAAATTCTTATGTGATAGTAAATACACCACATGGCCCCTTGTGCTGGGCAGTTGAGCTCTGGGGGACCCGCATTATGGGTGCCAGGTAAGGAGGTCAGCAGAAAGCTGAAGTAGGCCTGGTGACAGTCACTGGGCTTGGCTGTAGTTGTAATGATGGGCCTGGAAGGGCGACTGCTTGCCTGGGGCTGGGGAGAAACCCTCTGAGTGAGCCTGTGTGACATGAAAGTTGTGTGGGCTATTAGCTCAGTCACCTGGCTGGTTTGAAAGACGTTTGTCAGCAGCTCTCAGGCCCAGGAGCTTCCTTACTTTCCAGGGCAGCAGCTCTGGGCCAACACCACTACCTCCAGGAGAGTTTCCTTTTTCAGTAACAGCTAATTACAATACCCTTAGCTAATGACTATCTGTGTTTAAAGCAAGTTCACTTATACAATAAAAAATAAAGATCTGAGGAGCCTGGGCTTCCAGCTGGGCCACCAAGACTGCATGTAACACATCTGCCAGCTACAGTCTATTTGGAGACCTGAACCCAAGCTAGATACCTCCAGGTGTGGCATCTGCCTTGTCATTTGCGTGTTTTGCGTCTTGCCTTCCAGCCAAGCCATAACTTCCTGGGGCCAGCTGTAAGGACAGTATGCCCACAGAGGAGCGGAGAAAAGGCACCCCAGAGGCCAATGTACTTTAGTTTCATTACTCCCATCTCCTTCCCTAAGGGCTGGAGGTAATTTACATAAAAAGTCATAGATAGTCAAGAGTAAATTGTAAATAAACACCCAAATGTCGAAGGAGATAAAATGCAAGTTAAGACATGGAAACCCAGGCTAGAAGTAAGGCCACAGAGGCCAGCATATAGAGATGCTGTCACCGAGACTGACAATGCTCCCCGAGCTTTTAGGGAGAGAATGGAGCAGCACAGAGAACGCGCAGTCTGGGTCCTGGCTCTGGCTGACATCAGGGAATTCGTTTAACCTCTGAGCCTCAGTTGCCAGATCTATAAAATGGGCTTAGTAACACTCCTTCATCGATTTCTTAAGATGGAGACAAGACAGTAGAATGACTGGCATCTTGCAGACGCTCAGGAAAGAGAGCTATGGTTATTGGGGTGATGATTAAGCTTAATTATGGGGCACTTGAGGTTTCTAGGGTAAGAAGGAGGCTTGTCCTGCCTCGGCCTCTCTCCCTCTCCAGCGCCACCCCCAGGCTCCCAATCAAGAAAGGGAGGACTTACATGTAGTATCTTGCCATGGGGAGGGAGCACATTCCTACAATCCGAGGTGACTGGTCCTTGCTGAGGGGAAAGAGAGAAGGGCTGTCAGAGGAGGGCAGTGGAGCTGGGGGAGGACATACCTTGTGCCCCAAATCCCCAGTCACAGGGTGAAAGGTCCCACGAGGCTGCTGTTCCATAACTGGCCCTCAGAGTCCACCAAGGTCTCCCTAGCCCTGCACGCTCCAGGCAATTCTGGCCACTCTCATTTGGGGCCACCTGGAAATAGGTCGAGCTGGCTGGGGTGTGAGCTTGTGACTGTGCCCTGGTGCCAACCCTGGGACATTAGAGGACAAGCTCCCCCAAATCATTTCGCCAGGAGCACTTCCCAGGGCTGAGCCTGGGGTGTGTGGGCTGTAGCCTCACAGCTTGAGGACAAGCCCACTCAAACCTTGTCCCACTTCCCACAGGCGTAGAGTCACCACTGTCCACCCTCCCCTGCTTAGCAGGAGGTGAGGACCCAGCCCTAAGGGACAGCAGACGCCCTGCAGAGTTAGGCAACATTGTTCCTAGGGACTGGATGGCCTTGCCGGGACTGTGGAAGAGACTGTCCAAACCCGGCAAACTCCCCCGTCTACACCACATGGAAACAGGACAGGCTTGAGGTACAGACACTTGTGTTTTTGAGGATGAGCGATCTAGACAGAAACCAGTGTCCCCATATAAACCCCAGGGCACAAATCTCCACACGGCTCCTCTCCTTCCAGCTGGGTTATCTGATTCCCTTGGTCTGGGGTGAGGCCTGAGACTCTGCATTTCAAACATATAACCAAGTGCCATCGGGCTGCTCATCCCTGGACCACACTTTGAATAGTAAAGCACTGGATGATCCCTCAGCCCAGAGAGGCCATAGCAGCATGGCCTCCACGAAGCCCACCTGACGCTGTGTTCACTCTCAGCCAACCTCCTGGGGATCCTTCGGTTATGGCAGCAGATATATGGGCCTCCCCGTAGCTGTGCCAGGTCTGGCTGGGGCAGGCCCAGTGGAGGGCCCTGTGTGAAGCTGGTCAGGCAGCTGATGACTCCCACTCTCGGTCAGTGGCGGCGCAAAGAGCCGGCAGGAGTTCAGTGCAGCTGAATCCTGAGGGCCCCAGAAGCCTCCAGTCCTGCTGCAGCCCCAAGTACCAGTGTCTCCCCTACAGGCTCCCACATCAGCCCCTGCCTGGGTTCCAGCCAGACTGCAATGGAGTCCTAGGGTCCTGGTGCTAAGCATCCACCTCGGTCCCTCCCAGTGCAGTGGCTTTCACTGGACTTAGTCCTGTACCCCTCCCAAAACACCATGTCTGGCTGTCTAAGAGCTCATCAGTTCTCCTGTCCTGGATCAAATACCAAATAACCCCGGACATCCTCCATGCAATTGGCACACCACCCCCGTCCTACCCTCTCCTCGGTCTCCTATATGTTATGGGCGTGAATATGTTCTCCAAAAACCAACATTAGCTTCTGTGGCACCAAATCTAAACTCTTTCTCAATCCCTCTGATATTTGGCCCCTGCCCCTGGGAGCCCTTGACACTGGTCGCCTCCCTTCATGCCTCTCCATGTTCTCGTCTCCCTTCCTTTAGGAGGGTCCCTCAGGCCAGAAGCCACAAATCAAAGTCCTAAGCACTTTTCTTTTACTTCCCAGGGACTTTCAACTCACCCATTTCCACAGCTGCAATGATCATGTTGGTCTACACCCCCCAAATCCAGACTGACACCCCAGTTTATTGCTGTCACACCCAACCAAATATCTCTAAGGTCAAATTAATCATCTTCTCCACCACCACCCCCAGCCCATTCTCTCTCCCAGTTTCATTTCTCCCACCTACATAATCTCCCTCCAGCCAGTGAAATTAAAAAACCTGAGGGTCATTAACCATTTCTCCCACATCTCCTGACGCTGGGTCCAATTTATCAATAAGTTCTGATAGATTATTCTTTAAAATGTAACTTAGTTTTCTTAACAGCCATTAGACCTATGCCTGTGTTCCTGGTTTTTCTACCTTCAACCCAGACACCTTCTAAGTACGGCTCTCACTTCAACCCGCCCAGCTCTAGAATCCACCGTGGCTGCCGTTTCACCATCCTCTGGCCCAGATTTACTTGTGTGAGTGGACACTGAGCCACCCCTCCAGGCATGTGACTTCTTTCTACCTTCCCATGGGCACACTCAAAGGCTGTCTTTGATTTCCCTGCCTCAAAAGTCATTCTCCCTCCCTGCTGTCCACTCTGACCTGTGGCATTAGGGTCTCTGACCATAGAATCATCTATAGGTTGAGTGTCTAGTTCTGCCTAATTAACTATCAGCTCAAGTAACAACTCAGACATACAAGGTCACTTCACCCTCAACCCTCAGTTTCAGCACCTATAAAATCATGAAATTAGAGTATGCGGTTATTAAGAATCAGATCAAACCATCCATGACGCCGTCACTTGGAGTTTAATGAATCTTTCCTTTACTCTCTCACCTTACTCTGCACTCCTATTAAATTTCAGTGTATTGTTTATTGTTCTATATATAGACATTTGTTTCCCTTATAAAAATTAACACTATCTTGAATCCATAAAGCACGGCTTATAGCTCCCTCCACCCTCCCAACTGACAAGAGTGGTGCTCACAGGAGGACACAGAACCACACAGCAGATTTAAATGGCAAGGTTGGGTTCAGGACCTAGTGCTGCTACTGATGCAGATTCATCCTGCCACCTTGGAAAGTCCCTTTATCCTGGGCCTCCAGCTTACTATCGTTGGAATGAGAGGCTGGGCAAGGCAGTACTTTTAAAAACTAAGTTTTACACTGAATTTTTACACAGAAACTTGGAAATAAAATGGGTGAAAGGGGCCTGCCTTTGCTGAGTCAGGGAGTGATGGAGACACCAGACATGCGAGTGGTTCCCTTGACCGCTGAAGTGGGCACCGCAATAGTTCTAAAGAGCCCTAGACCTCACCAAGCAATACTGAACACCACTGGTCTAGAAAGTTCCTCTGGCATTACTTTCTAAGATCTATGGTTCTAAATATTTAAAATATCTTTACTCAACTCAACCAATAGTTTCTCCTCAAATTCCTTCTATGTGCCCTGGACTTACTCAGCATCCCATGGTATCCTGTGGATAGGACATCTTGTCATCTAGAGAGCTGCCAGGAGGAGTTAAGGAAAGGGGCATATTGGAGATGTTGGCAGAGGGAGAGGGAAGGAGAGAGAGTACTGCCTGCCCACCACTGACCTGCAGATCCTCGCTGCCTGGAACCACCGACTGATTTCTCCAGGGCACCTGCCCTGGATTTATACCATCTGACCAGGTGGGTTGGGCCTGCAGCATCTTAAAAATTGGCTCCAGGGTGGGGAAGAGGAGCCTGGGGATTCCACAATGTCTACAGCACAGTATTGATAATTAGAAGGTGAGGATATTAATGAGTGTTTGTTCACAGAAGCCCCGCACTGGGCCCCTGCTCATAGCTACTGTCATTGACACTGTTATTGGTGGTTTGGTCCACGAGATAAACAGTGCTGGGGCCAGGTGTCTTCATGTTCCCTTCCCTTTGGTGAGCATGACCCTGTTTGGAAAGATAAGAGGGGCATCATATAGCTGGTATCAACTCAACAAGACAGAACATCTGAGAAAACCCACCTCTGGAGGCATTGACCTTAGCTCCATCTTGGAAGGAGCAGGAGCCATGTGCCTTGGACTACTTAGGGCATGTGACACAGTGCGAGCAGGACTCAGGTGAACACTCAGGTTCCTATCTCAGTCTATCCATCTACACCTCTGTCCATCCATTCATCCAGCTATACATACACTCACAAGGGGCAGAACACTTAGGTGCGGAGTTCTCTGGGGACCAACTGCCTTATTGCAATTCTTCCTCTCAGGACATTTGCAGAGTTCCATGAAGGGCTTGGGGAGAAAGAGGGAGAGCTGTGTCCAACACCCAGATATCTGCAGAGAGAGAGAGATAAGAGAAAATGGGCAGGAATGGGATCAGATTTCTGTTTTCTAAGGCCAGTAGTAATTCTTAACCCCCTCTCTCAATCCCTTGTCCCTCTGTGTAAAGGACCAAAGCATGGGGTATGATTTCAGGCAATCAGTGAGTGTTTATTGAGCATTCACACTGCTGTGTGACCAAGACATACCGCAGTGGTCCCGGTTAAGTAGCTTTATGGTCCAGCTGGGGAGCTAAGTCATAAACACTTGAAAAGACAAGAAGAATAGATTCTAATCTGTGAACCAAGGGCATATTGTGTTGGAGACAAAACAGACAGAGAATTTCCTTGAGTAAAAAAACAAATTTCTAGAATCTTAAATGTGATATAATTGGTGCTACAGCATCCCTGAGAAGTAGGCTAAGCAAACTCTGCTTCAACACCTCCAGGGCCAGGGACCTCACAACCTCTTGGAGAAACACTAACAGTGTGGTCCTTATGGTTAAAATTTTCAGGTCACAAAGGAAAAACAGCTCTATCTGGTCCACTCACTGGTCCTGCTTGAGTGTTCTGGAGTCACACAGAAGGAGTGTGTTCTCCTACTGCCAGGCCTTGGAGTGCTTAAGGGGGGGCTCTCCATGTATGATTTCCTCAGAATATGGGCCCTCAGCACCTTTGCCAGTTCCCTGTGACTTGGTCTGGGACCCTCTCTGCTCTTCAGGACACACTATTATCCTCAGTGCTGACAACTGTCATCGACTGCACATGTGGTAGGTACACACCTCTATAAATACTGGCTGAGGCTGAGGACTTGTGCTGAAATGGAAGAAATCTAAAACCACTAGACCTGCTTCATTTGAACTTCATGATGCCAGGACCCCTGGCTCATACATGTAGCATTTTACATTCCTCCCTTTTCAATCAGTATGTGTCAGCTTGTAACCAAAACCAAAGTCCCACTGTCTCCCGCCATGAAAGCCGAACTCGTAAGATAGGTGCTGATGAAAAGGGAAAGGAATAACTCGAGGTTATTCAAGAGCTGGTCACCTGAGAAGACGGGGGACTCTTGTCCAAAGCCCATCTCCACATCTCAGTGCAGGCAGTTTCTT